AAGAAATAAAGGAGAGAGAACAAAAACTTACACAATACTAATACGAATAGAATATGAATGATAATTCCTAAATAACACTAAATCTTTTTATTTTTCTTTAAATATATATTAAAATATGTTTTAATATAATAGGGCAATCTGGTGCATTATCACAAAGGAAGGGTAGTCGCCATCAAATTCATTTTTGTCGAGCCTGCGACTTTTGCGCAAAAGCGAGACATAACGATCCTACATTCCGTCGTCGGCGGCGGCGTCCACAAATATTCACTCTATGGTTAAATTTTTTTGAAATTTTCACAACTTTCTTAAACTATCCTGCATTCCTACCAAACTTGGACAGAAGCTTGTTTATAATCATAAGATAGTATCCAGAAGTAAATATTGTAAAAAAAATCCTGTTTATCCGTATTTTACTCATATATGGACTTAGTTTTTCTGCCAGTTAACATAACATTCACTCTGTGGTTAAAGTTTTTAAAATTTTAATAACTTTCTTAAAATATCCTGGATTTCTACTTAACTTGGACAGAAGCTTGTTTATGATCATAAGATAGTATCAAGAATTAAATTTTGTAAAAAAAAAATCCTGTTTATCCGTATTTTTTACTTATAAATGGACTTAATTTTTTCTGCCAGTTAACATTACATTCACTTTGTGGTTAAAGTTTTAAAAATATTAATAACTTTCTTAAACTATTATATACTGGATTTGTACCAAACATGGAAAGAAGCTTGTTTATGATCAAAAGCTAGTATCTAGAAGGAAATTTTGTAAAAAAATCATTTCCTGTCTTTCCGTATATTACTTATAAATGGACTTAGTTTTTCTTCCAGTTAACATTACATACAGTCTGCAGTTAAAGTTTTTAAAACATTTATTAGATTCATAAAGCATTCTGGATTTTTACCAAACTTGGACAGAAGCTTCTTACAATCAAAAGATCATCTTTATCGTTTGTTCATTCAATAAATTTATGTTTCAACTCTTTTATAAATCTATAGAATTGATTGCATACTGTATTCAATTTTTTACAAGCATAACTTTTTTCATACATTTCAAACATTTTATTTCATTAACTGTAAATCTATTATGTGCATTCCCCTATCAAACTGAAAACATAGACAACAGCAAAAGTAGGCGAGACACTGGGTTCCGCGGAACCCTTACGAATTTTTTAAATAGTAATTAATGTTGACAAAAATGTTATGGTCTATTCCAAAAAGTTAGTAACCAGGGCGCAATTACCAGTTGGTAAGCTGCCCACCAAAACAAATAAATGTAACCGTAACCATCCATATTCTACAAAAAAATCATGTTTCTTTATTATACAAACACGGAAATAATTCCTTTTTTATTAAATCTTAGGTTTAAAGGGGCACTAGCTGTCAAATTCATGTTCACCGATTTGGCTCAAATTCTCATATATGATTTATAACCATGTAAAACATTTATCCAAATTATAAAAAGTCTAAAATAAACAATTTACAGGGCGTGGGCTCGATAATATGTAGCTTCTTTTCCTATGTATTTTAATCTTGACGCCATCTAATTAACTATCGAGTTGACCTCCGAATACCTCCGATGGTCATATATGCGATATAAACATAAAAATAGATATAAATAGAAAGTGGACTCGTGTAATTGGATTTTTCTAGGTCTGTTTAATTTCATATCATAGATTAAAAATATATGTTAATCATCGTTTTTACCTGTATAAGAATGATTTTTTGTGGATCGAATCAGTAAATCAAATGATTTACCTTTGTTTCACTTTCAATGTTGACATTCTTTTCCTTTAAATAACTTAACACGCACAATTTGAAGAAGAGATTAGCACTTTACCTTGGATTCATTTGTTGCTGGCACTGAACTTTCTATTCTATATAAGTTTTGAAGATGTTTTGCGTTATCGTTTGAAGTGAAAAATATTTGAAACTTCATATCAAATTGATACAAAAAAAAAATGAAAATTCTCTGCTCTATAGATTTTCATAGATGGAATCTGAAATATACATTATAATAAATGCACAGTATCAAATGCATATTTGAGAACAACTACTTATAAGCTATTACGCTTCGCATGTTTAATGTGGTGTAGAGACATGCAGCATTAAATCTAAGGCAAAAGACAAATAAAAAAAAAAGTTCTAAAAGCTTTCTTTGACAAATGTTATATACTTACTTCATTACAAGTTTAATTAAATTACATTTTCTAAAAAAGAACTAAGAACTGTTTGTATTGTGTAAATTTAATTCATTTGAAATTTGCATTCAAATACGCTGTTGGATATTACTAAGCGCCAATAAAATACAATATTTTTGTATTTTATAGATTAGTGCCTTCGATAATAAAAAGTCGTCATCGAATAGACTCATTATGCTGATGTTCAAAAAGACTCGTTTCATTGTTATTACAACAAATAGGTCATAATAAGACCTCCAGGAGCGTAAGCGATCGAAAAGTAAATATCTTTGTATATCTAATGCCAGGGGCGGATTCAGGCGGGTGCGTGGCGGGCGTGCGCCCCCCTAAAATTTGCAGCTTAATAAAGAATATTTCGATAATTTTACCTCAAAAAAATTTTCAGTTTGCGCCCCCCACCCCCCCTAACCTAAAACCCTGGATCCGCCCCTGAATGCTAATTGCATCCACGAAAGGGTGAAGCGAGAAGGGGTCTAGCGGTCTCCCCCTCGGAATATCTTAATGTGTACGTTTTTGTTTTCTAAAGGGTTAGATCATGGAAGCTATATCATTTAATTTTACATACATGTGTATTGAAAATGTTCTTTCTATCCACAATACAAACTTTTCTGATTGGGTCCCATTAATAGTCATGAACTAAAAATTACATACACCACATACAGCTTCCTCAGCCTAATTTGTATACTTATATTAATACCCCCAATTTGACTACAGCGGTCATTTCAATATCAGAGTTTATGAAATTATAAATGTTCCTCACCTTAGCAGCAATTTACCTACTTCATCCGTGTATGGAGTCTAATACATTTCTCAACTAATACGATTTTAAGGAGCTTGCTGCTGCTAATCAGAGTTTATAAAACGTTATCAATGTCGTTTGGATAGACATACCTAACTTTTTTGTTTCAAAAGATAAACACAAGCGGATTTTTGTAAAAACATTTTAAAAATAAGTATGCTCTAATTTGTATAACAATTCTTTGGAAATAATTATTTTTTACCAGTTTCATGATTTTAGAAAAAAACGGCTTTTTTGCTGTATATTTATCTAATTTAAAAAATTTCATCAATGACTTTTTCATAAAAATTGGTACAAACAATCTTCATACGTAATCAAACCTAATGTCATTTTAAAAAAGAGGGGTCCATGAACTCGTTTTCAAGTTAAATCAGTCTGAATGATAAAAATCAGCCGAAAAATGCATGTCACAGTTTGACGTCGCGAAAATAACATTTTACTTTAGCAACGTCATTACCTCCCCTGTAACTGAATCGTATGCCCTTAAAGCTTACTGCTAGTGTATAGTACGGGTTCTGGCTAATGTTGAAAGCCTTGCAGTGACCTATAGTTACTTACATCAAAATCCTATTATCTAGTATCAGGGAAATGAACTTATCAATAACATGATCATTGATCTATGAGAGGAGGTCAAGGTCAGGTGAACCCCATATGAGGGACATGCATACCTTGCAATGATTATATATATCAAATATAATTGTCCAATTGCTAATAATAACTAAAAACATATATGGTCTCTGAAATATCGCACCTGCTTTACTGATCATGATTTGATTTATGTTAGAAGTCTTTGAAGATATTAAGTTTCATAGTACCTTAATAAACACGTCAAGTATTCAGATAAATCTGATATATGAAAATGTACACATTGCAATCATTCCATACTCCAAATATAGTACCAACTGCTTAAAGTAACAGTTTATAAGGAATAGACTACAAACTACCAATATAGCTTGATATGCAGTATGGATTTTGCTCATTGTTGAAGGCGTTTTGGTGACCTATAGTTGCTAACTTCTGCTTCATTCAGTCTACAGTGGAGAGTTGTCTCATTAGCAATCATACCACATCTTCTTATTTTTATATAAACCAAAACTTTTACCTGATACTCCAAGAACAGACACACAGAAGGATGGATGGACGGATAGACCAAAGTACGCACACAATGAAAAAAGATAATGCAACTCTACGATCTTAGCTGGCCATTAGAAACATATTTTTGCAGTGAATAGGTATCATTTTTTCCCTTTATTTTCTGCTTGGAAAATTATTATCAGTAACTTATTTCTACCTAATTTGACAATAATTCATAAAGAACACAAAAAGCTAATTAATCCCAATTTGCAGATGGCAGTATTTTGGGCAACTATTCAAGCCTCAATACAAGACTGTTTCACTGACAATATACATGTACCTTGACACTGCAGTTAAAAATTATGAAAATTTCCTTGGCATTTACAAGAAAATTATGTTACATGTGGATATAAATATTTTCTCCAACAAAATATATTTTGCTTTATCAGGAGAATCATTTATTATAGAAGTTCTTTTTTTAATATCATTTTTTTTGTGGTTAAAATAGTATAGACCACTTGATGTACATTTTAGTATGGAATTGTTGTTCTTTAAGGTATGTCAATTTTCCTTAATGATTTTATCAAGAAGAACGGAAGATCAAGTCTAGGATAAACTAATTTGTTATATTATGGACTCTTAATTGATACTCAATTTGTGATTCATCCACTTTGAAATCAACCATCAATTCAAATTAACCCTTCCAAAATTGATTGTCTAAACCCGTTCCAATAATTTAAGAACAAAATCTAACTTAAACCAAAGAATCAATCTCATTCTCTAAAATCTTAGACCTTATTACACAAAATAAACATAAAAAAGATATTTCATTTGTCTCTATCCATTCCTTGATTAAACTAGCATTTGTCATTCTGTTTTGTCAATTACTGCCTTTGTAACTGTGCATGAACAACAAGTATGCCTTTAAACTTTATAAATAATTTAATCATGGAGATAAGTGTACTACATTTAGCAAAACTAACAATTCACATAAACAATATGTGTTACAAATATCATAAAAATGTATGAAACGCATAGTATCAATTACCTGAAGCTCATATCTAACAAAGCTAAAAGCTCATAGTACATGTATCCCCCAAATTCCCAAACTCATTAGTATTAACCAAAGCCTAAGCCTCCTTAATATCAATCAAAGCATCCACCAAAGCCAATAGCTCTTAGTACCCACCAAAACAGGAAGTTCATAATATCCATGAATTCATAGTACCAGTATTCAAAAGCTTAAAGCTCATAAAATCGACAAATGACTGAAGCTTATAATTTCCACCAGAATCTAAAGTTCATGATATCCAGCAAAGACTAAAGCTCATAATATCCACCAAAGCCTGAAGGTCATAATATCCAACAAAGCCTGAAGTTTATAATATCCACCAACTTGAAGTTCATTGCATCATTCAAAGACTCCAGCTTATAGTATTAACCGAAGCCTAAAGTTCATAGTAAACCGAAGCCTAAAGTTCATAGTAAACCGAAGCCTAAAGTTAATAGTAACTACAGACGCATGATACAACTAATATCCATTAATTTCATTAAATCAACTGATTACACTTTTTTTCATTTTTTATAGTGAATTGCATCAGTGTAGACAATTCACATGTAACAGTACAAAAGGTTGGTTTAATTTTTGTAGAAAGACTTAGACAACACAAACATACAGTATCCAGAAAATAGCAAACTTTCACTTGCTAGCAAATTAATCCACAAGCTTAAAAAAAAATAGAATATGTTCCCTTAATTAATGAATGTAAATTTCCATAAATCAAACTGGTCAGCAGGAAGTCCTGTCCAATACAGTATTTTCAGTGTAGTGCTCATTTCAAAAAATTGTCCGAATTTTGAATCAATGTAGGGCTTTCACATCCATTTCATCTAAATCATGTTCATTGTCTGTGTTGATATCATCTGATAATTCGTCTTCCCTGAAATACAAAGCATGAAGATTTTCCCTTCACATGCATAGTAAAATTGAAAATCACCTCATGAAAGATAGACAACTATATAATATATCTAAATATATAAACATTTATATAAAGAAAAGAAGAATGGCTATTTATATAACGTTACTGCTTCTACTATATCATCTAATTCTGTCTACACTAAAAAAAGTTATTAAATCACTGAAATTGATGAGTCATTACATAGAAGAAATTAAAGCCATTTAGAGGGGCGGAAGGACCCTTTTCTGGAATATGGGATTGAGGGAATTCAGGAATAGCCAATTAATTCTTCGAGAATTCTGGATATAATTATATTGTGATGCAGGAGTGGACACATTATTTTTATAGGAGAGGACAAATTATTTTTATAGGAGTTTGGCATTTATTTTCTCAGGAATTCTGGATGAGACCCCCTCCTACCCCTATCTAAACTTGCAACATTCTTATATCATATCCCTGATCCTGTTGAGTGATTACAATAAAGGAATTCAGATTATCTAAACTCACCTGAGCCTTATGTTTATATCATATCCCTGATCCTGTTGAGACATCCTACTAAATGATCTATGGCTATCCAAACTTCCTGTGCTGTTTTGGTCATCTTCCAAAACACTAAGTCTAGAAATCTGCCCATCAGCTTTTAAAAAATAAAATATACAGGAATTTTTAATAATAGGTAAGTCATAAATTAGCTTAAGGTATTATTATGTAGTTACTTACAGGGAATAAACAGGAATATATTGGGTCAATGAAAAAAATGATTTGGACAAGGGCCATTCAAGGTCCAATACTTCTTTCCTGGATCCCATATATTCCCACACATCATTTGTAAGTGACTACATAACAATCTATCCCACTGATGACTTTTTGGTGTTCATGACATGTTGTAAACTTGTAAAAGTGGTTCTTATGTCAAACTTAAAGTTGGACAATAATAACAAACATTCAATATCAAAGTGTTCACAACAATTGACCTTTTCATGTCATGTATATTACTGGCAATTAGATTCATTTTATGATAGCTTTTATACCCCTTGTAAAAAGCATAAAACTATTCCATTTGGGGTTGATCTCATCAAAATGAAATACATAGATTTTTGTCAGGAAGGAAGAACAAATCAGGTAACTCAATATATTCCTTTCATTTTACACCTATTAACATTTAATTATCAAATCTGTCACATTAAACTGACTTCTGTATTCTATTTGTGCTATTAACTCTTTCATCCCTGGAACATTCCCACCTACTATTAGGAATTATTTCCTGGAACATTCCCACCTACTATTAGGAATTATTTCCTGCAAGTCTTGTTTAGCCCTTCACACTTATTATCCTTACCTGTAAGTCTGCCAGACTGAGAATATCCTTACCTGTAAGTCTGTCAGACTGAGAATATCCTTACCTGTAAGTCTGCCAGACTGAGAATATCCTTACCTGTAAGTCTGCCAGACTGAGAATATCCTTACCTGTAAGTCTGCCAGACTGAGAATATCCTTACTAGAATATCCTTACCTGTAAGTCTGCCAGACTGAGAATATCCTTACCTGTAAGTCTGCCAGACTGAGAATATCCTTACTAGAATATCCTTACCTGTAAGTCTGCCAGACTGAGAATATCCTTACCTGTAAGTCTGCCAGACTGAGAAGCTAATTCCCATTCTAGTTTATCTAATGTTTCTACATCCTCTATGTTTGACTTTTCTTTAGCACCAACTTCATCAAATTTACTTAAATTATCACCATCCACAACTGAAAATGATGAGTTTATGCACTTAATAGATATTATTATTATTATATACTTCTGATGAAATAAATTTATCTTTAAAAATATCAATTTAATAAAATCTCTAGTGAGGCATAACTATATAGATTATATTGGATTGCAAATGATTGCGTTTATAGTAACTAGTTATGTCTGCCCTGTCAGTGCACCTACATCACCCATGGTACTCAATATGACAGTCTTTAGTTTTACATTTCTCTCCTGGTTACCAGATTTTAAATAGCAAAGAGCATATACATATATTTTTGTTGTCTTGTTCTCCTTTTTCTTTTCTATCAATAACTTGTACCAAGTGTTATCGGGTACACCAACATTAGCTACTGTGAAACCTGTTTGAAATAAATCCTTTTACAGCTAAACAAGTGTTCTGCTTAGGCACAGTAGAACCTGTCTTCAAAAATAAAGATTTTGCATGGTCTGTTTACACAGGTAAAATTAATGTCCTGATATAAAATTTAAATCTAGAGAAATATTGGACAGGTTTCACTGTGTGTATATGAAACATATATACATATACCAAGTAGTCATACTACTACAAGAAATGTTATATCCCCAAAATATAATGACCTACTTATTATTAAATATCCTACTAAAAACAACCAAAATCATTCATTTTTTATCAAAAAGTGAAAGTGATAATCTTGAATAAAATGAGTTTCAGTATGAGACAATTATCTCAAGTATAAAGAGTTATTTCATTTATTATCAATAAGTCTAAAAATTCCAAAATATACAATAACAAGAATGTGTCCATAGTACACGGATGCCCCACTCGCACTATCATTTTCTATGTTCAGTGGACCGTGAAATTGGGGTCAAAACTCTAATTTGGCATTCAAATTAGAAAGATCATATCATAGGGAACATGTGTACTAAGTTTCAAGTTGATTAGACTTCAACTTCATCAAAAACTACCTTGACCAAAAACTTTAACCTGAAGCGGTACCAATGGACGAAGGATGAACGGACGAACGGACGCACAGACCAAAAAACATAATGCCCCTAAGTGGGGCATAAAAATGTACACAAACACAAAATTTACCAAATATTAGCCTGGTTTTATCTAACACTACATTCCATTGACATAAACTTCATCTGTACATAATATCTCAATATCAATTTAAGCCTTGAAAGTATCCAACCAAGCTTGAAACTAATAACTACAATCTTACCAATAGCTCTTGAAAGTCGTCCATCCTCTGCTTGTGATGACCTCAGTCTACTCAGAGGTCGTGGTGTTTTAGATGTCTGACGTGGTGTTTTAGATGTCTGTGATGTTGGACCAGATGTTATCTGTGACTCAAGACGTGGAGTTTTGGAAGATTTTGATTCAGGACGTGGTGTTCTGGGAGTTTTTGATCCAGGACGTGATGAGTTGTTTTGTTTTGATGAAGGACGAGGTATTATATCCTCGGACTTATTCTGTTTAGTTGATTGACTAGATTCTAATGGCATTTCTGGCAGAGTGGTGTCTCGCAACCAAGTATCTACACGACTCAAGGACCTTAAATAACAAAGTTTCATTTGATAAAGTTATAAAGTGCTGGAAATTAAAAAAAAAGTATTAATAAAGTGTTGAAAGGCAAACAAAAAAATACAATATGAAGGAAAAGAATTTATTTCGAATAAATAAACATATGCAAATTACACGTTTGGATTCTTTATAATGTATAGTTTGCCCTCTGTTTGCCTTTGATGGATCCTAATATGCAGACACATCAGAACTGTTTGGAGATGTGTGTTTGTTTGCCAGGAGTTCTGGACACATAAAGCCCTTGCAGCTTGTGCCAAGGTGAGTTTATTTGGCTGTCTTAATGTGATGCCACATCTGTTTGGGTCTGAAAAAACACAGTAATGCCCCATTGGTAGCCCTGACTCCAAGATACATCATTGTTACTGAAATGATTGACATACAAGGTGTAAGAACCCTAGTCAGATATAAGGCATCACTATCTGTATAGTTGTCTAATAATGACATACATACCTAGTTGTTGATGCAGGACTGATATTTCCATCCACAACTTTCTTGGTTTCATTTTCCTCATCGTATTGTGAACTGTACTGTGACAGCATATTCCTTCCTTTTGCAGACCCTAGTCCATGAACCTCAGTTGAATTTTTGGCATCTAGAATAGCTAATGGGTCCTCAGGGTCAGCCAGTCTGGGTGTTTCTATTGGTTGTATAGTTTCACTAGGAACAGCATCAGACAAACTTTTGTCTGGTTTCCATGATCTTGGAGACATACTGTAAACTAATAGAGAAAAATAAAACAATTTATGACATTGAAAGAACTTGTCAAGATATATATATATTAACGGATGCTAGAATTTGTTTTGTTGGAATATGAATAACTTATAGAATTTTAACAAATATTGCTCATGTTATTACATTTTTGTAGTTAAACTTGGCATTGAACTAGGTTTCAGATACTTCTTCAGTACTCTGACAGTCTGTGTCTTTTTGTTACTTGTTTTGGGATTTTGTAACGGTCTGATGAGTCAAGTCCTTTCATACAGATTTTTACAATTTGTGCTTACGCTGTTTTGTAAAACTACCATCCAAGGTTAGGGAGGATTGATTGCTGTTTATGTCCCAAGCCATGAAACTGTAATCCAGTTGTTGTCATTGGTTACTGTCTGCCATACTTTGGATTCATTTATTTTTGTGGGTATCAATTTTCGTGGATTCAGGAAAACTTGCATTTTCGTGGCTATTTGATTTTGTGGTCTTGCCAATCTCTGCATTCAAAGCTTACAGAAAATTTGTCATTCGTCGAACATTTGAATTCTTGGTTCACCTGTACCCACGAAACCCACGAAAATTGGTATTCAACAAATAATAATGAATCCAAAGTATTTGTTTTTCATTCATTGTTGCAGTATTAATCAGGTGATTACTGTAAATTCAGAAATTATTGCATGCATTTATTATTGCGATTTTGTCATTTTAGACTAAAATGCGATTTTAATTTTTGCGATATTGAGAAAAATCCTGTTTAATTCATATAAAAAATTTCAAAATGCGAGTTTAAATTATTGCGATTATAACCCTGTCGCATTTTTCGCATTTATAAAAACATTGCAATTATTTCTGAATTTACAGTATTTTCTCAGTTGAATTGATTCTCCATTTTGTTTTACACATGCCTTTTATAGCGTACTTATTGTATGAGTTTTGCTCAATGTTGAAGGCAATATGGTTTACCTGTAATTGTTCACATCTTTGGTCTTAATGGATAGTTCATACCACATCTTTTTATTTTCATATTAATTATATTAACTCCTAATATAATCTAGAAAAATAAATCTTACATGTATAACTTAATTTAAATTTTTCCTGTCCCGATTTTTTATGTTTGGAAGGTGTCATAGTTCTTTCCTGTTCTGCAGGTTGGACACCAGCCATTAAGAAATCCCCTAGTCCTGAGGTATAAGATGACACATTCTCATCTAATGGCAAGGAGGCAATCTGCTTCAAAGCATTACTGGGTTCCATGGTTAAATGGCTTTCTCTGTGGAATTAAAAAACAATTTGATATTTACTTCAAATTTAATTACCTGTATCACAATTATTATTTGATTTAAATGTATGATGGAGAATTATATTCATCAGGCACTATGTCACACTAGTAGAGGCAGATTTAGAGGGGCATAGACTTTTTACATGTATCACTCCAAACGTTGGCTTGCCAGGGGCCCTACTTTTTCAAAATCCTGGATCTGCACCAGACTAGGTTGATATAAAGTTCATTGATTGAAAGTTCTTTACTAGTAATATCAACCTGTAGCCTCACAAAACTCAGTAACAGGAGTAAGATGAGAATTCAACTGCAAAATTTTAAGGATCCTACTGAAGAATTACAATTTCAATCCTAATGGAAACAGGAAAATCTTAATATTCATAATATGTATTCTTACCCATTTAATCTTGAACTTGCTCTACTTTTTGCTCTGGATCCAGGTCTTGACTGGCTAGTTTTAGCTCTAGATGCAGGCCTGGATGATGGAGGTCTTTGTTTTGCAGACGACACTCGATTTCCTGTTTCTGATGAATTAGTTTCATTCCCTAATTTAGATGGTACCCTATCAGTAAATGGTGCTGATGCACTAGATTTTACAGTTTCTAAGTTTTGTAAATTATTTTTTGAAGAATTCGGCCTTGTAGGAACTTCCATTTCTACATTCTGGTCAATGTGTTCATTGATTTTAAGGTTTTTCCCGGACTTTCTTCTTGCAGACTTTGGAAAATGTGGGGGTTTAGAATCATCAACATTCTGTGATTTAAATGGTAAATCTGTTGTCCTGAAAGTAATGAGTCATATATAAAATAGGGAAATATTTATTTAACATGAAAAGTAGGAAATCAATTCATTAAATTTGAAGACATTCATATTCAATCAATATAAGGTATAACAATGCTGAAAGTGGCATTAAACACCAATCAATCAATTGTTGATTTATGCAAAATATTTAGACTATGATGTTCTGTTAATAGTTTTTTTAATGAATCATTTATTTCACTGTGTTCACAGCAAATTAAAATCTCTATTTAAACATTTCAGACATGTATACACTTTTCATCCCCAATAAATAATTAAAACATTATCATTTTTGTATTTTGATAACATGATCACAAGTAATATTCATAAATATTAATTAATGACAAGCTTTGGCTGTTGAAAAAATGATCTATAACCACACATGACAAAATTACAACATTTTAAAGATAGTTCAATAAATATCATATTCTGTAATACTATTTTACATTCATAAACATAATCATAAATGGTAATACTGCAAGTCAAATTTGAAATAAATTTCTTTCATCTTCTATATGTATTTCAGTTCGTTGTCCGTCATATTTACATTTATTGATTACCATTTGTCTGTCAATCAATTAAGTTTATGCATTACAGAAGCTTACCTTTGACTCTTAATGGCCCACATATCTAAATCATCAGCTTCTTGAACATTACATGCTGTTGTCTCTTCAATATTATCTGACCTCTGAAGTCAAAAATATCATTCAGTTTAAGTAACATTACTAAAAGCTCATCATAGATAATGTATAGAGGGTTATTTTCACAGGGTGTTTATTTTTGCTTATTTTGGTGGATAAAGGAAAATCGCGAAAATAATTCTGCGAAAATTTATGCATACGTTCGGTACTTTGTAATAGCGTTTTGTGAACGATCTATTTTTTCCGGTCCACGGATCAATAACGTTTATGTTAGTTTAAACAACATAAATGCCAAAGGGCGTTATTTAAGGAATGACTGTAATATATTTTCTGTCTATGAAGAAATAACATAAAACATTTGGTACACACTGATTAACCAGCGTAGAGGGTTATTTAAAAGTGTGCACCACATTTTTGAGGTTATTTCGAATAGATAGAACAAAATATTACTGTCATTCCTTATAATTTAATTCTAAATTCCTTTTTTAAGGAGTAAATCATGAAAAACGATGATGACGTCATGGTCACATGACAAAATTATGTCTATGAGCTGATAGACAAAAAACTTTCAGCCAATCAGAAACGTGTTACATCCAAAATTAAATTCACATATAATTTATAAAATCGCTGCATGTTAAGTGTTAATTAGTTTATATATAGTGTCAAATAATATAAGAGTGTAGGGTACTCTAGTCAGGTATTTTACCCTTATTAATTAGTGTCAAATTATATAAGAGTTGCAAGTCACTCTTGATGATTTTATAACCTAATTAGTACATCAAAAGTTCGGTCAATTTCGTAACGAATCAACCGTAACATTAACAAGAGTTTGTACACCTGTGGCAAATTTCTCTTAAGTACCGATATTCTATTGATTAACTGTATCAAAATATAATCAATAAATAAGTCGTCATGCAGGTAAACCAATCATTTAACCATAACAGTAGACACTTGTTTGTCAATTTTTACAACTTTTTAACTGCAACCATTTTGGTATCCGCCAAAACATTTAATTGGGATTTAAGAGTCCGCCAAAATAAAAACCATCAATTTTTCGTATACTTTGTTGCCCCTTAATTGCAAAATTTTACACCGGCGAAAATAACCTTCTATACGGTACTATCATTCTATCAACTCTATCCCTACTTCTGCTAGATTATTTAACATTTTGCATCTTTACAGTTCCTGTAATATTAACTTCCTCTTCTTCTAAATAAACAACATAAGCAGCTAGAAAGAACAACAAGTCATCTAGCTATTCTTTTTAAATGAGTGAGTAAAAGATGACATTCTAAACATGGTACTGTATTTATTTATAAAATGTAATCACTCAGTTATCATTTTATATCTTTGGCCTTCATTACACTTTAAGGACATAATGGAAGATATTTTACAACTGCCATGCATAAAATATAGGTTGATATGACCTTACTTTTGTAATTAGGTTTTCATAAATATTTCTATTTCAAATGGTTAAGTTGATATTCTTTTCCATAGACACAATAATACAAACTAATACTTAACATTCTTCGTAATATTGTTGTAGTAGTATTTCTTTTCAAATACATGTAGTATGTAAAATATCAAATGTCATGTAGATATAACTGATTTGTGGAACACACAAAAATAAAGGTTAGTGAAATAACAAACTGCCATGTGAAACACAAAAATATAATAAACACATTTACATGGTGAGGTCCACGTGCATGTTTGTCACTAGAAATGTTGAAATTATACATTGATACTTGATAGGGTAACATTCAATATTAACAGTTTGTACAAAATTTGGAAACTGAATCTGTTTTCTGAAACTGATTGAGAAAATATCAGTCAAAATTTATTGACATTACTATAACATGCCAAATTACGTAACCATTCTTACTATAAAATATGATTACAATTAATTATACATCTTTTTATTCTTGGAAATTTGTGATAAAAAAGCAAAAAAAAGCAAAAGGCATTTGTATTGTAAATGAAAACAGCAGAAATGGTGATGTACTAAAGTGATAAAACAGTGATAATCTGACACCAATTCATCACCTACCATTGACGCTGGTCTGTTGTGTACAACCTAATTAAACAACATGTAATTAACACTGGTTATAAATTCATATGAAATAAGAATAACAATTGCTCAGCGTTTAAGTTACATGAATGATATCAAATGGTTAATTTATGTGTCAAAGAATTTAATAGGCTACAACAAATTAATGCCCTTTATTTTTATTGTCTACCAATTTTGTTTCCCTTATTTTGGGTTTATTTTGTTCTACTTTCTTTTCTTTTACAAATTCATTACTTTTATTGTGCATTTCCTTGGTATGTACATGATAAAAGGGAGTAGATTGAGTGGTGAGGCCAGTAGCATGGGATCCTTGGCTTTATCTCTGCAGCACATAAATAGGGCTAGGGGTGGAACAATTCTCATTCATCAAGTTTTCAGCACTTCCAGGACTGAATTTCTTTACATTTGCAAATAATAGAAAAAAAAAAAAAATCTTAAAACTAGTTTTAAATTAAAAGTGGATCTACTATGTAAACCACAACATTTGTTTGTAAACCACAACATTTGTTTATAATTCAAAGATTTTTAACTAATAGTATTTTCATAAATTTTCAAATTATTTTCCACTAATTTGTGGAAAGGTTCATATTTTAAGCCAAATTTCAGCAATAGAAATTGTCCGCAATTCATTATTCTTACATCCTTTAAGCATAAACATCGTCATTGTATTCTGCCTGGCTAAAAGCCATGAAACCAGGTGAAAATAGCTCAAAATTTGTAGTTTCAGAACGATTCTTAACTGCCATATGATTATACATTTCTATTGGTTATTAAATAAATCATTTAAGGTGAATTGTTCTTAAAGTTGAATATAACATATATACCAGTATGTTGAGGCAAAGGCAATATTATTATAAGGAAGAGACAAAAATTTTTATAAAAACCTGGTTCAATTCTTTTAAAATGTAACCAATAAAATGTCAGTGTAATTAACAATAGTTAAATAGTATTTTCTGAAATTATTTTTTGTACTAACAAGTGAAACTGTGAGCTACTGCTCACTGATGATACCCCCGCCCAAATATTTCGGTAAACAGGAAGTTGTTGAGTGATGAATCTGAAAACGCATCACATGGAATAGCTGACTCATAAAACCCTGAAACCAAATTTCAGAAATCCTTGTAATGTAGTTCCTGAGATAAATGTGACAAAAATTTTCAACTACTTGGATGTCATGTTTAAAATGATGTAAATGTTCGATAAACAGGAAGTTGTTGAGTGATGAATCTGAAAACACATCACACCGTATAACTGACTCATATAAATCCTGAAACCAAATTTCAGAAATCCTTGTAATGTAGTTCCTGAGAAAAGTGCGACGAAAAATATTCATGGGACAGACAGAGGTAAAACAGTATACCCCCACTTTTTTAAAGCGGGTATAAAAACAGTATACCACCACTTTTTTAAAGCAGGGGTATAATAAAGGTTTTAAAATGATCACATGATACAAATATATTGTGAAAAAACATCATACTCAGCATAGATGAAAGTATCAATTACTGAATCAATAACAACATTGACTGGCAAGTTCAGACATCTACCTCTACTTTATGTATATAAAGAAGCCCTATCCGAAGACATTTAACCTGTGGATTTAATAAGCTCATTAAATTTCAATGTAACTAAAAGATTTTTGAAAATGAATGCAAGTGAAATTGATGTTTCTTGACTTAGTTTTCAAATTCCCATGTGGTTAATACCTAAGATTTTATCTGATTGGATAATTACAGTAGCAATGCAAAGTTTACTGTTAAAAAGATGAATGACTGGTCAAAAGATAAGATCAAGTGAGTCAAACTACTCTATACAAACCTCGTCATTCTGAATTTCTATAATAGAGATATTATCCTCATCATGTCTGGCAAGACTTAATGGCTGGTTAGAGGTTGCCGCTTCATACAGAGCTCGGAACTCGACTCTTTCAAAAGAAGCTACAAAATATCATTGTTTCGTTATTAACTATAATCCCTCTACCAACACTATAAAACTTTGTTGTTCAATTGTAAATGTTAGACAATGATACATTGTTAAGATCCTTACCATATCAATCAAGGCTGCAAATTTTACCACTCAATTTATTGTAGCTTTATAATCAACAATTAAAGAAAGGACAGAAATCTCTTAATCAAAGCTTTAAGACATTTTTTTATCTGTACCTTTTTGTATACATGGTGACTTGGATGAAGAGTTGTCTCATTGGCACTCATACCACATCTTCTTATTAATCTATACTCAAATATTTTCCAAACATTAAAAAATTAAAAGAATGTATTGTTATCAATATTCTGAAAACCAGCTGTACATGTAAATCATCCTTGGTGTAGTACTATCTGATTTGTATGTTACAGTGTGGTTTTTTAGAGGGGTCAGGGTGTTTAAAAGATTAACTATCACTGTCATAGCTATCCTCTCTCTCAGGGAATGACTGGATCCTTGGTGTAGTACTATCTGATTTATATGTTACAGTGTGGTGTTAGAGGGGTCAGGGTGTTTAAAAGATTTACTATCACTGTCATAGCTATCCTCTCTCTCAGGGAATGACTAGATCCTTGGTGTAGTACTATCTGATTTGTATGTTACAGTGTGGTTTTTTAGAGGGGTCAGGGTGTTTAAAAGATTTACTATCACTGTCATAGCTATCCTCTCTCTCAGGGAATGACTAGATCCTTGGTGTAGTACTATCTGATTTGTATGTTACAGTGTGGTTTTTTAGAGGGGTCAGGGTGTTTAAAAGACTTACTATCACTGTCAAAGCTATCCTCTCTCTCAGGGAATGACTGTATCCTTGGTGTAGTACTATCTGATTTATATGTTCTAGGTGTAGTGGCATTACTGCCTAGTCTTGGGGTGGATAGCCCATCAAGATCTGTTCTCCTATGTTTCTTCAGTAGAAGACGTTCAGCATAACTAAGACTATTTGTAAATTTGATATCAATTTCTGGTGACTTGTCATTAGTCCCTGTACTATGATCCATTTGTTCAACATTATCCCCTAAACATAAAAACAAAAACGAAATTAAATATGGTTCCTGGCTTTCATGAAAGTACAAAAAAAATGACAGCTTATATAATACAATATATTACTGATTACAAATGTGTCTAGTTTTGTGATTGAATAACAACACAGAGATGTCAGTTTACAGTCCTGAAACAGCCGGGGTATATCTGACGTTTTTACCCCAATTAGAATCTCAATCATGACGAACGAATGGGATAAAATTTCCTGCAAGTCTTTGCAGAAAATGATATTATTTTACAGTATATAAGACAGAAAATGCATACTTAAAGGTTTTTCTTGTCGTTTAACACACCTTGGGGTGCCATGATTACCCAAAGAAAGACAACCCTGTGGTTGGTCTTTCATTTGATCAGCCAATCAATCATGATACCCTTCTGTGTGTAAACACGAAAAAGAAATATGCATTTTCTATAACATGAATGATGGATGTCTGTTTAGCCTCCACTGGCAAATTAAATGCATATTCTCAACAAAAAACATGTAAATATAATATGAATATGAATCCTGCTTTGTACTAGTCTGACATACTGAACAGGATTTTTAATGTTCACAAGGTAACAGTCCGCAATCAGACATATCACCATATCTGGACTACGAGTCGACCAGTCTTTGCTCTTTCTTCTAATGCTGCATGCTTAGCATAAAAGCTGCAACTACCAATTCTAATATTAAAAAAAAGATGTGATATGATTGCCAATGAGACAACACATCACAAGAGACCAAATGACACAGAAATTAACAACTATAGGTCACCATACGGCCTTCAACAATGAGCAAAGCCCAAACCGCATAGTCAGCTATAAAAGGCCTCGAAATGATAAATATAAAACAATTCAAACGAGAAAACTAACGGCCTAATTTATGTACAAAATAAACAAGAGTGCACACGCTGAAATGTCTTGCCTTCTTTAATAACCATTGATATTATGTTGATAGTCCTAAATATAAAGCTTTCTTACAACTGTCACATAAACTTAACATTAACCAAGAAAACTAAACATTGACCAATGAACCATGGAAATGAGGTCAAGGTCAGATGAACCATGCCAGGCAGGCATGTACAGCTAACAATTATTCCATACACCAAATATAGTTGACCTATTGCATATAGTATTAGAAAAAAAGACCAAAACTCAAAATCTTAACTTTGACCACTGAACCATGAAAATGAGGTCAAGGTCAAATGACACCTGCCAGCTAGACATGTACACCTTACAATCATTCCATACACCAAATATAGTTGACCTATTGCTTAAAGTGTAAGAAAAACAGACCAAAACACAAAAACGTAACATAAGCAATGAACCATGAAAATGAGGTCAAGGTCAAATAAAACCTGCCAGACTGACATGTACATCATTAAATATTTCCATACACCAAATATAGTTGACCTACTGCATACAGTATTAGGAAAACAGACCAAAACACAAAAACTTAACATTGAGCAATGAACCTTGAAAATGAGGTCAAGGTCAAATAAAACATGCCAGACTGACATGTACACCGTAAAATATTTCCATACACTAAATATAGTTGACCTACTGCATTCAGTATTAGAAAAACAAACCAAAACACAAAAACTTAACATTGAGCAATGAACCGTGAAAATGAGGTCAAGGTCAAATAAAACTTGCCAGACTGACATGAACATCGTACAATATTTCCATACACCAAATACAGTTGACCTATTGCATACAGTATTAGAAAAACAGACCAAAACACAAAAACTAAACTATGACCACTGAACCATGAAAATGAGGTCAAGGTCAGATGACACCTGCCAGTTGGACATGTACCCCTTACTATCATTACATACACCAAATATAGTAGACCTATTGCTTATAGTATCTCAGATATGGACTTGACCACGAAAACTTAACCTTGTTCACTGATCCATGAAATGAGGTCGAAGTCAAGTGAAAACTATCTGACGGGCATGAGGACCTTGCAAGGTACGCACATACCAAATATAGTTATCCTATTACTTATAATAAGAGAGAATTTAACATTCCAAAAAATCTGAACTTTTTTTTCAAGTAGTCGCTGAACCATGAAAATGAGGTCAAGGACATTGGACATGTGACTGACGGAAACTTCGTAACATGAGGCATCTATATACAAAGTATGAAGCATCAAGGTCTTCCACCTTCTAAAATATAAAGCTTTTAAGAAGTTAGCTAACGCTGCCGCCGCCGCCGCCGCCGGATCACTATCCCTATGTCGAGCTTTCTGCGACAAAAGTCGCAGGCTCAACAAAAATGAAAAACAAATATGTAACACAGCAACAAACGACAACCACTGAATTACAGGCTCCTGAGTTAGGAGAGGCACATACAGAATGTGGCGGGGTTAAACATGTTAGCGGGCGCCCAACCCTTCCCTAACCTGGGACAGTAGTGTAACAGTACAACATAAGAACAAACTATAAAAATCAGTTGAAAAAGGCTTAACTCATCAGATGGATACAAATAGAAATACATCTAACAAAAACACGTGGACAGGTACTTATACATCCCCACAACAAAAAAAACACTGAGTACAGATCTGAGAGTACTCCCAGTTACTGATAGCTAGTTCAAAGCCAAATCATGCATCTAAGACTAGTCAAGTCTGGTTTGACCTGGCTGGGGATGGAACACATCACTTTCCACACTCAAAGTGAGCATGGGATCCCTGATGCATTTAATATGGATTATACATCAATGATACAAAATCAAAAGATATCTAAAGGTCCATATAGAATTTTGTTTTCTGAATACACACCCACTCTTTATATTATTGCACATGTCTTTGGTTGATTTAACAGGCCTCTTCTCTTCTGTCTTTATTTGTGTAAATTCTAGAGAACTTTTATTTTCTAATATTTCAAATAGAATGTCTTTTATGCAAGCATCCATTCCACAGAAATCTATTAGCACCAGCTTTTAAAGATTTTCAAGAAAAACATTGAAATCATAGAAGTGTTAACCAATTTTCTTGGAAGTGGTCAATGATATTTCAATTTTGTAATTATCTATTTCAGAAAAAAAATCAGGAGAATCTAAGGAAAAGAACTGAATATTTAACTTGACAACCTGAGCAATATTTTTTCAATATCTTACGAATGTTTAAATCATTTAAGGTAAAATTTCAAATGAGCTGACCAGTAATTTAAATAACACTTGTATGATAAATGTTGTGATACTCAATTAAATAATTTTTTTCATACTTGGAGCTTTTCTAGGAGAATGACGTCTTGGTGTTATAATTTTTGGTTTATTATTTGTTTCCGAGGCTGCTTCACCAGTCCTCCAGGCCTGTAAAGCTTGCTGAAATGCTACTGCATTCTCGCCCTCATCATAAGTACCATCTAACAATGACGGGCCATCAAATGATCCACTAGCACCCTCTGGACTATTTCTATCACGCTGATGAATATTCATTGTATGTAAATTTACAGCACCTTCTGCAGACTGGTACCCATTTTGGTATTCCCTGTTGGAGAGTATAAATCATATTTCACAAATTCTCATTTACCATAGTTTGGGGATTTGATCAAATCTTATATTGTTTAGAGATCAGGACCAACAAAGTAATGTTTATTAGCTAGTACATATTTATAAAATCACTTGACTGAACTGGTGCAATAGATAACTGCCTTATTTCCCTGTTATATTGGTGAATAAAATTATTCTTGTGTGGATTATAATCGATAATTCAAAAGGTAAAATTATTTTGATAAATATTTAAAGAAAAAAAAAGCAAACCATTATGTAGCAGGATCGTACTCAGCATCAAATATGTCTTGTAAACTGACCTGACATATGATCACATATAGTTATATAGTTCTAGGGGGTGGTCACAGAAAGATGAATTTTAGATGTGTCACAATACTGATATTAAACTTCCTGGAGTTGTCTATGTCTGTAGATACATATATATATATAGTATTAAAAAGTATCATTACGTTGGTTGTAATGAAATACTGTGATTTCCCAGTAAAATAAAAACAGATAATTTCATGTGTGAAATTTATCCAATTATTTCTCCTCTGACATCATACAACAATGAGTGTCATTCACATCATGAAACAAGTTTTTTTTTCAATTAGTTTTGATTAAAGTACCTATTAGATGGTGGTGGTGTTGGTCGAGGGGACATACACTGTCTTGGTCCTGAAGCCTGTAAAAAGAAATTTAATGTTAATTTGAATATTAAATTACCATGGAATAAAATTTAAAAACAAATTTTGTTTGTTTCGATATAACTGTTTGTACCCCTAGACCATTTTAAATGAAGTTTTATTCCTCTAAAAATGGGAGATTATCCACATGATAAATACCTTCTTATAGATATAAACATAGGATGATTCATAGACTGACATATTGTATAGACACTTGTCTCTTGTTGGAGACTGTATTTTGCCCTTGAGATGACTGCATTCTCATTCATTTTTGTGGGTAACAATTTTCATGGATTGAGGTAAACTTGATATTTGGTTTCCTGTTTTCAAAAATTAATGCATACATTGCTGTAGAATATTTGCAATTTGTAGAACATTTAAATTCCTAATGGGACTGTACCCATGAAATCCATGATAATTGGTATCCAATGAATAATAATTAATCCACAGTATATTAGTTTTCATTCAAAATTATATTTAAGTTCTTATTCCATATGTGTATTACTGAACCAATGATCAGTCTATATTTGTGGGTGTTTTAATTGTTTTTTCATAAACTCAACTTTAAGTATTTGCCACAAACAGAAACTTAAAAACTTTGTGGTTGGTTTCAAATTATTCAAATCAAATTGAATTGCTATTATTACAATGTATATTATCAAAGTGAAATGTACTCACTGACAGAGGTACGGATCTGTGTTTCTTTAAAGCTCCTTTAAGATGAAACGCTGCAAAACACTGGGCACAATAATGTTCTGAACACTGTACACAGGACTACAAAACAAAGATACTTGTGTATAAAACACTGGGCATAATTATATCAGGACTACAAAACAAAGATATTTGTCTATAAAACACTGGGCACAATTAGGTTCTGAATACTGTACACAGGACTACAAAACAAAAATATTTGTCTATAAAATACTGGGCACAATTATGTTTGGAATATTGTACACAGGACTACAAAACAAAGATATTTGTCTATAAAATACTGGGCACAATTATGTTCTGAACACATTACACAGGACTACAAAACAAAGATATTTGTCTATAAAACACTGGGCACAATTATGTTCTGAATATTGTACACAGGACTACAAAACAAAGATGTATAAAACATAATAAGTATTTTGACAAGATTTTTAAAAGTTTGTATTGTGCATGAAGAAGTAACTAGCATGTACTAAAAAATTAAAATTCTTCCAATATCACTTAGACATAACCTAAACCAAAAACCAATGGAACAGTGCTTTTTTTGCAGTTCTTCATTTCAAAGCAGAAACTATCACCTCACTATGAGTTTAAAACAGCCTGGCCTGTACGTAGCACAGGTTTGAGGAGAACTCTTTAATAGATGTTGAACATGCTACTGTTGAATTTGGATTTCAACAAGTTCATCTCATTTATTCCACAGAATTTCATGACATTTCGGATTCATTAGTCAACAATATAAAAATCCCCTCCCCAAAAAACAACAAAACACAAGTAATAAAACTATTGAATGAGTAATTTACTACTGAAAGTAAACTTAGGCCTGCCACAAGGTTGAGTTATTTCTGCATCATACTCACACTGGCCGTAGTTTATGAAGTGTACACTAAATAAAGGCTTGAGTCCATCAAAAGGAATTGGAAAATTGTTGGAGGTAAACTGACCACCAATTTACTCCTCCAACATTATCATGAAGATACACAGGGGCAATCAAAATCCTAATTTAAAGGACAGACAACTCTATAGCAAGAAAAAATAAGATGAAAACGACAAACAACAGTCAGACAACTCTATGGCGAGAAGAAATAAGATGAAAAAGACAAACAACAGTCAGACAACTCAATGGCGAGAAGAAATAAGATGAAAAAGACAAACAACAGTCAGACAACTCTATGGCAAGAAGAAATAAGATGAAAAAGACAAACAACAGTCAGACAACTCTATGCCAAGAAGAAATAAGATGAAAAAGACAAAAAACAGTCAGACAACTCTATGGCGAGAAGAAATAAGATGAAAAAGACAAACAACAGTCAGACAACTCTATGGCAAGAAGAAATAAGATGAAAAAGACAAACAACAGTCAGACAACTCTATGCCAAGAAAAAATAAGATGAAAACGACAAACAACAGTCAGACAACTCTATGGCGAGAAGAAATAAGATGAAAAAGACAAACAACAGTCAGACAAATCAATGGCGAGAAGAAATAAGATGAAAAATTCGTAAGGGTTCTGCGGAACCCAGTGTCTCGCCTCCTTTTTCTGTTAATCACAGGCTCAACAAAAATGAGGAAGTAAATCAATAAAAATATTCCTCTTGATACTATCTTTTGATTGTAAGAAGCTTCTGTCCAAGTTTGGTAAAAATCCAGGATAGTTTATGAATCTAATAAATGTTTAAAAACTTTAACTGCAGACTGAATGTAATGTTAACTGGAAGAAAACAAAATTTCCTTCTAGATACTAGCATTTGATCATTAACAAGCTTCTGTCCAAGTTTGGTAAAAATCCAAAATAGTATAAGAACGTTATTAAAATTTTAAAAACTTTAACCACAGAGTGAATGTGTTGTTTCCTGGCAGAAAATCTAAGTCCATTTAAAAGTCAAATACAGAAAAAATGGATTTATGTTTTTACAAAATTTCCTTCTAGATACTAGCTTTTGATCATAAACAAGCTTCTGTCCAAGTTTGGTACAAATCCAAAATAGTATAAGAAAGTTATTAAAATTTTAAAAACTTTAACCACAGAGTGAATGTGTTGTTTCCTGGCAGAAAATCTAAGTCCATTTAAAAGTAAAATAAGGAAAAAATGGATTTATTTTTTTACAAAATTTACTTCTGGATACTATCTTATGATCATAAACAAGCTTCTGTCCAAGTTTGGTACAAACTCAGGATAGTTTAAGAAAGTTATTAAAATTTTAAAAACTTTAACCACAGAGTGAATGTAATATTTCCCGGCAGAAAAACTAAGTCCATTATAAGTAAAATACGGAAAAAATTGAATTTTATTTTTACAAAATTTACTTCTGGATACTATCTTATGATCATAAACAAGCTTCTGTCCAAGTTTGGTAGAAATCCAGGATAGTTTAAGAAAGTTATTAAAATTTCAAAAACTTTAACCACAGAGTGAATATTTGTGGACGCCGCCGACGACAACGACGACGACGACGCCGACGGAATGTAGGATCGCTATGTCTCGCTTTTTCGACTAAAGTCGAAGGCTCGACAAAAAGACAAAAACAACAGTCAGACAACTCTATGGCGAGAAGAAATAAGATGAAAAAGACAAACAACAGTCAGACAACTCTATGGCAAGAAGAAATAAGATGAAAAAGACAAACAACAGTCAGACAACTCTATGCCAAGAAGAAATAAGATGAAAAAGACAAACAACAGTCAGACAACTCTATGGCAAGAAGAAATAAGATGAAAAAGACAAACAACAGTCAGACAACTCAATGGCGAGAAGAAATAAGATGAAAAAGACAAACAACAGTCAGACAACTCTATGCCGAGAAGAAATAAGATGAAAAAGACAAACATTAGTCAGACAACTCTATGGCGAGAAGAAAAAGATGAAAAAGACAAACAGCAGTCAGACAAATCCTAGACATTACCAAATGATTTCAGTCATAATTTACATGGATGTCATCAACGATCATGTATGCTTTTATTTTGTACTGTTGATGTTTTTACTTAACATGCTTAACTTACCACCATTGCTCTTTTCTCTTCACACTGTCCACATTTAGGTCCTTTGATTTTTTCTCTAGGAGTATTACCAATACTTTGTTTTGCTAAGTGACCAAATGTTCCTGGCTGACTAGATCTTTCTGGTATATCTTGACATAAAACATATATATAAATATTTACAACTCAAACTATGATTTTCAAATTAAAATGAATTTTTCAAGTTAAATGTAAAAATAAGAACCTTCAGTAAAATTTTCAAAAAAGGTTTTAAATTGATTGATGTTGGCTTTACCTCCAGTGGCTAAAATCTAAAAAGGAGATGATTACTGACATTCTACAGAGCTCCTAGAAATAACAGTCAATCTAACTGGTATACATAATACTTAGGATGTTTGTAACTTTTCTGAAATATCAATTTTTTAGATTTTTTTTATTGTTGATGAATTTCTAATCTGGATGTACCTAGTAGACGAATGTCTCTATACATTTCTCTTTTTTTCTATCTTTTTGATTTGTAGCAAAGGAAACAAAAAAAAATTATTTGATATCTTATTTGTTTCTGTTATCACTATTTTAACCTTGTTGTGAGTTGATACATGTATTTATATCATCCTTACCTAATGGAGAATCTTTAAGAACTTTCACTTTCCTTTTTGAAGGATCCTGTAAATAAGAAAAACATACATAAAGTCATTTAATTTGTAGCAATTGTGAGCCTTGTGCTCAGTCTTTATTTTGAAAGTTCAGTCTTCTTCAGATGATCCTTTTGGGATATGCTGTTACTGTCCTTAGTTCCTACTCTAACCTTGAACTTTAGACCTTTCCTTAGTTCCTACTGCAACCTTGAACTTTAGACCTTTCCATAGTTCCTACTCTAGCTTTGAACTTTATACCTTTCCTTAGTTCATACTCTATCCTTGAACATAAGACCTTTTCTTAGTCCCTACTCTTTACCTTGAACTTTAGACCTTTCATTAAAGATTTTACTCTTCAAACCTTTGATGATTTTGTTGGTTTATAAAGTACATTACATAGAGCACCTATTGAAGATATGTGATTTAACTCACTGGGTACTCACTAAGGCGAGTCCATGAGTCCTGGACTCATCAACTTCAAAACTGGTGAGTCCAAAGATTCATCAAGATTGAAAAATGTTGTATCAACTGAGCACACGTCATCAATTTAAAGCAGAAGTTTCAAAGCAAATATAATTTGATGTCATTTGCTTGCTGTATTTTGTCATTGAGACCGAAATAATAAGTTAAATAGAGCATAAATTGAAGATAAGAGATTTTACTGTAGATACCTTAGATGAATTTGTTGGTTTATTGAGTACATTAAATAAAGCATAGATTCAGGATAAGAGATTTTACTGTAGATACCTTTGACGATTTGGTTGGTTTATTGAGTACATTAAATAGAGCATAGATTCAGGATAAGAGATTTTACTGTAGATACCTTTGACGATTTGGTTGGTTTATTAAGTACATTAAATAGAGCATAGATTCAGGATAAGAGATTTTACTGTAGATACCTTTGACGATTTGGTTGGTTTATTGAGTACATCAGTGGCATAACTATTTAATTTTCCTGTTTGTCCTCTACTCCAAAATCCACCACCTTGATTCCTGAAACAGATGTGAATGTATAAATGTGATGGTATTAAATTAAGCATTTAAGCTTCTTTCATAAAGACAAGAGTGTACACGCTGAAATTTCTCGCCTGCTTTACTTATGATTGAATTTAAGTTGAAAGTCTGTAATATGAAGGTATTATCAATGTGGTCACAGTCAAATGAACCATGCAAGACAGACATGTACACCTTACAATCATTCCATACACCAAATATAGTGGTCCTATCACTTATAGTACCTGAGAAATGGATCAAACCACAAAATCTTAACACTGACCAATGAACAAAGAAAATGAGGTCAAGGTCATATGAACCCTGCTAGACAGACGTTTACACCTTAGGATCATTCAATGCATCAAATAAAGCTGACCTATTGCTTATGGTATCTGATAAACTGATAAAACCTCGAAAACTTATCATTGAACAATGAACCATGAAAAAGAGATCAAGGTCATATGGACCCAGCCAGACATACATGTACACCTTCCAATCATTCCATACACCAAACTTTAATTGACCTATTGCTTATAGTACAGCTAACCACAAAAACTAAACATTGTCCAATGAACCATGAAATGAGGTCAAGGTCAAATGAAACCTGCCAGCCAACATGTATACCTTACAATTGTTTCATACACCAAATATATTGGCCCTAGTAATAGACCAAACCACAAAAACTCAACATTGTCCAATGAACCATGAAATTGAGGTCTAGGTCAGATGAAACCTGCCAGTTGGACATGTACACCTTACAATTATTCCATACACTAAATATAGTTGACCTTTTGCTTATTGTATCTGAGATACAGACTTGACCACATAACTTTAACCTTGATCACTGATTCATTAAATGAGGTTGAGGTCAAGTGAACCTTACCTGATGGACATGTAGATGATGCAAGAACCTATAAACCAAATATAGTTATCCTATTACTCATAATAAGTGAGTATTTCACTTGAAAAAAAAACCTGTCACTGAACCATGAAAATGAGGTCAAGGACAGTAGACATATGACAGACAGAAACTTCCTAGTATAAGGTATCTGCATACAAGGTATGAAGCATCCATTTCTTCTACCCTCTGAAGTATAAAGCTTTATACAAATAGTTTACACTGGTACCGCTGCAGACGCACAATAATTAAATAATGATTGTAATCCCCATGTTTCGCATTCTGCGACTTTTGTCACAGACAAGATAAAAACTAGTTTCAAAGCCATATTTCTTACATTGCTGTGCAGCAGCTCCACAGGCAAGGACAGTAGCTGACGAACAATTTAAATATGTATTTAAGGAAATGAAAGATACAAAAAAGAGCAATATATGAACGTATTTGGTATAATAAATTTACAGTCTAACCACACAATGTTTCACTGCCTGTAAAGTCATAGACATTAGATAAAGTCTCTTAATGCTTTTCGTCATTGGTGCAGATATAAAATATTGTCACTTATAATTTGTCTGGATAAAGAGCTTGTTAAATCAGAGAATTGGCCACTAATTAAGTTTTTTGGTGACCTATACAAACAGATTATCAGGTTTTCTGGATATTGATCCAGTAGTGTATCAGATGAGAGTCACAGATTATTGTGGAGTGAACACACAAATGGGTTCAAAATGGGTGCAAATTTTATCAAGAAGTTATTTTTTTTTTTACGAAAAACAACATTATGAAAATCTGATATTTTCACGATAGAATTAATAGTTTGGACAAAAAACAATATATGTCTGTTTAAGGTTTCATCATTAAAAAAAAATAGGGTAAGTATTTCCATTTTATTTTATTTTTTCATTTTATTTTTTGCAACATGATTATAAGTTGTGCGGTCCATCTTGCCGTGGTCTGGGTTGTCCATGGGGCGAGTTTACCCTATTTTTAATGATTGGAATATTTCCCATTGTTATTGATTGGAAAAAAATGGCGGCAAAGTGTTTATTTCATAACAAGAGTCATGAATTTCCTCAAAACAGCGGTCATATTCACGATTGTGAGCATTAGGATGTATCAGGCAATTGATTTCTTTTATTGGCAACTCAAACTTCGCTTTTGACACAAGGTCAATTAATTTTTCACTTTGTGACGGAAAAAAATCGTAAGGGTTCCGTGGAACCCAGTGTCTTGCCTACTTTTGCTGTTGTCTATGTTTTCAGTGTGATAGGGGAATACACATAATAGATTTACAGTTAATGAAATAAAAATCCAGGATGGTTTATGAATCTAATAAATGTTTTAAAAACTTTAACTGCAGACTGTATGTAATGTTAACTGGAAGAAAAACTAAGTCCATTTATAAGTAATATACAGAAAAACAGGAAATACTTTTTTTCAAAATTTCCTTCTAGATACTAGCTGGCTTTTGATCATAAACAAGCTTCTGTCCAAGTGTGGTACAAATCCAGGATAGTTTAAGAAAGTTATTAAAATTTCTAAAACTTTAACCACAGCGTGAATGTAATGTTAACTGGCAGAAAAACTAAGTCCATCTATAAGTAAAATACGGATAAACAGGATTGTTATTTTTACAAAATTTACTTCTGGATACTATCTTATGATCTTAAACAAGCTTCTGTCCAAGTTTGGTAGAAATCCAGGATAATTTAAGAAAGTTATTAAATTTCAAAAACTTTAACCACAGAGTGAATATTTGTGGACGCCGCCGCCGGTGCCGCCGACGGAATGTAGGATCGCTATGTCTCGCTTTGCGACAAAAGTTGCAGGCTCAACAATAAAATGACTTAGGGTTGGCGCTCAAAAGCAGAGTCAGTCGGGTAACCGTAAACAGTAATTTTTTTTATTGGCCTGAATAATTTATTTGTTTCACCAGCAAACCAGAAGAGGATTTGATCAAATCGGAGACAAACATAATAGCGTTGGTGATATATCCAGGTCAAAGCTATTAAGGTGAGAGGTATGTAAATGAACGCCTCTAGCGGAAAACGGGAAAATTTGCGTTCGTTGTTATGAGAGTTATCTCCCTTACACCAGAAAAATATTTTCAAGATGTCGGAAGGTATTCCGCTTCGACGGAAAAATGGTCAATTCGGTTGAAAAGTATTAAATGCTTCTCATCAAAATATAACAAAAAATGTATAATTGGAAATGAAATGTTTTGTCCGAGTGAAACATTGCTTCCCTCCCAAGAAAATGAAAGTAATTTGGCATGGCGTGATGGTCGTAGAGTGGTTGAGTTGGGTTTCTAGCTGGCCAACTTAAAGCTTGCAAGAACTGCTATGCACCATTGTATCTACACAACTGTTTAAAAGAACAAAAATACGATCTTGCAAGTGTTTGTATATACCTTGTTGTAGCTGTCCCTACACAAACTTAATAAACACTGGTAAATGGCACTGATCAGATACTTCAAAAAAGGGAATGTTGATATGGGACGTGAATACAAAATGTACAGTAGTATGGGTAAGAATATTACAAACACCTGCATATACACACAATAACAAATTAAGCTCAAACTATAATATTTTTATTTTATTTATTGAAATTCCATAGCAAATAGCCTATAGTCGAAGACTTACACTTACAGTTGCATACAAAGAAATATATTCGTTTCTCAAAACAACTGTCAACACTAAGAGATATTCAATTCTCGACAAAAAAGAGGAAATACACTGTTCTATGCTTAATAATGATATTATTCTTGATTTGATATTCGTGTTATATGATCACTTTCTCGCATAAGTATAAACATTTGGAAGTTTATACAAACAAAAAACCGTTGTTTACAGTGCTTTCTTTCACGTCCGCAATATGGTCTATAAATAGAAGTGGAAAGTGCTAGTACCGAGTGTGAAAAATAAAGGATTAACAAGCAAATAATTTTTAATAAAAATATTGGACAAGAGTTTTAAATTGCTGCGTGACATGAAATTTGCGGAATTACATCAGAAGGGTAAGCAAGAGAAAAGGAAAAGAAAATTGAATGCGAATCGAAATGGGCCGGGTGGGACCTTGTGCACGGACGTAAAATGGTCTTTCAAAATGAACAAAAATTATAAAAAAAAAGTTTTCACGTTGCTCTTTAGTCAATTTGAAATGAACATTGTGAATAATGAGTTTAAAGCATGAAAATACGCGAAGGAAAAATTACAAATCCACCGCTCAAAAATTACCCTTTAGGTGTAATATCACCATTGATTTTCCCCTATTAGTCTTCGTTAAATTTGCACTTTTCAAAAAAATTGTGCAGAATTTATCTTTGTTTCAAATAAAGTAATACTTGGCATGAGTAAAGTTTTATCCTGTCCAGTACCATAGAAAAAATTTCACATAACATTTCATTGCATATAAGAAAATAACCATCACTGGAAGTTAACCAATCAAATGTTCACCTCTTTTTTATCCGTGTACCAGCGTTAGTAACCATGTAACCTCAAGTTTTCAAAATATTCTATTGAAACACCAAATAAAAATATAATGGCGCTTAGAAGCACCCAAGATATATGTTTATGACCCAGAATTTTTTTTTACTGCAATGAAATGGAGGATTAATTTCCTACAACTGTCAAATTCAAGGGAATTTTTTTTTTCATTGACGTAAACCCCACACTGATTGAAGAAATAAGCTATACATGTCTAGGGTCTCATATAATCCGTAAAAAAAATAATAATCGGTAAATAATACATTTTTCAGACAGGATAAATATTCCATAGGCGCTATAGCGCATTAGTTAAGAGGAACAAATTATAATCAAAGAGACACGTTTATGAAGCGGTCGTTGTCTTTGTGTGACAATATTTCTATTTTGATTTTGATTCTGTTGATGGAGATTTGACGTTACGTAATCTTTTTCGGCGACGTCATGCAACTATCTTTTCCCGTCGGCAACACCCTTTCAACGGCTGATATATAAAAAGGGAGTTCGGTAACCATAGGAAAATTATATATCAATAGAAAGGAAAATACTATCACAAAAACATTTAATTTTTATAGAAAAATCGTAGGAATGGTTTTAACTGCCGATTAAATTAAGCTTGAAATTTCTCATTTTTGGCGTAAATTTGACGTTACGTCTATGTACTTTATGGTGTTTTCCTAACATTTTCAAATGACTGTAACTTTGAAAGTAGATCGGTTACCCACTTACATTTTTCGATTTTTCTTTGTATTTTAAAAAGTTCTACGTGTATACAATTTCTTAAAAAAATCGCTGGACAAGCGATTTACGTACCTGTTACCTTAAGGTTGGGTCGTCGTTCTTCCTGTCAAAAAGTCATGATATACAATTTTATGAACAGCTGAGTAGAGTAATAGACTATTTTCATATTACCGACTTTTGACTCCGGATTATATAATTTGTGGACTGGTTACCTTGGACATCATGGTACTCAGTCAAGTAAGAGCAACCAAAATAAGTAAAATCAAACATATAATCGGTGTAATTTGAGGGGAAAGTGTACTGTTTTCCGATGATTTTGTAGTGAAAAAAAAATGTAAAGCAGGTAATTTTCCCCCAAAATTGATTGAAAGCTTGGTTTTACTTCTTTAGCTTGCTCTTACCTGACTTGGTACCATGATGTCCAAGGTAACCAGTCGACAAATTATATAATCAGGAGTCAAAAGTCGGTAATATGAAAATAGTCTATTCAGGCAGAGGAAAGACCAAAGCTGTAAATTAAAGTGACCTATAAATATCTATTTTCAGTTAACTTGTGTTGTCTAGTTGCTGTCCCATTGAAGTTCTCCCACCTCTCCTCTTATCCATATTGTGAAGATCAGTAAACTAATTGTTAACTGTTTTAATTATTCCATGTCACCATTTAAATTTAAAAACCTGTCGCACCCTTGATGATCTAAAGACCTGATTCACCCTAAATGATCATGAGGTAAAAACTGCTTCAAGTATTGTTATACATGTACATACTCTCTTTCTTCCTTCTCTCTATTCATAGCCATTCTCAGTTCCTTTAACTTTTCTTCCATCTTCCTGCTTTCTGTTTCAAGTTTCTTTGTTTCATCCTGTGCTCTCTTCACATTGCTGTATAGAAGAATAACTTTGTCATATATTTAAGATATTTTTCAGTCTAAATATATTTATTCATTAATTAATAGCACATTTACACCCTGAGTTTTAATGGCATCAGCAGAACAGATGTTAATAAATCAAATAAAAAAATTACAATACAGATGATTCAATAACATTATACTTATGGAGGTGTGGAGTCCACCCTACTGCTAAATTCTGTGTGAAGACAAAATTAATTGTAATTTATTATTTGAAGTGAATTTAATGAAACCTAAATAGACAGTAATATATCTTTTACAAACTGCTTAAGGTAGATGGGGGTCTACATTAAAAACCATAGAATTTTTTAATACATTTGTCAAAATGTAGTTTATATCATGCTTTATTCAAAAATATAATGAAAAGTATGGATCATCAGGCTTTTTTTCACTCTACAGGTTGTGCAAAATTGTCAGATTTTGTATAGATTATGCATGGAAAACCCAATTTTGTGTGATAAAAAGAAAACTACACCATAGAATTTCAAGATAAAATATGAGAAGATAGCTCTAATAATATGCTTTCAGATAAGCTGGGTCACCAGACTCGTTTTCTTGCTACATAATAAAATAGGTAAATTCACATTCACATTCTATTATAAAAGTTACTTTATCTGAGTTATCTCCCCTTATATGGCAAAGTTGAAAAAAAATGAATCAAACAAAAATATTCTGTTTTTTGTAAAATACAGCCAAAAAATATGATAAAACATATGATTTTCTATATAAACATTAACAGTCATACCACATCTTCTTATTTTTATATTTACACAAGAATTACATACTACTCTCGAAATTTGCACATTTCATTAAAGATCTAGACCGATTGCTATATGCTATTTCAAAATCCAAGATGGAGGAAGACACCCCAGCTACCTTAATCAATATACTTCATATTTAAAAAAAATCCTTTTTATACGGCCAATATCAATTCAAAGTGAATATTTAAGTTTTGGAAGCAAAATGCAAGTTAACAGTTTTACACAATACTCATATTAACTGTTTTTTAACTTATCTTTTGAGATATTAGGGAAACACTTTAAAATAAAACTGTAAAAATAAAATACATACTGCTGCTTAAGTCTCAAAGACACATCTTCTTTCTTTGCAGTGTTGATATTAAATGCAGACATCTTTATAGTTTTCTTACTTTACTTGGCTAACTTGAATTCTATCAGTCTGTATTACTGTAAAAAGAATAATTATCAGTTAAATTTGCCATGTAGTTATTTTTCTTATTTTCCTCTGTCTAAAATGATGTATATAGATATACAAATGTAACATCAGTGTTTCTTGAAAAAGGTACACAAAATCCTACAATAGGAAAAATTAAAATTGTCCTAGAAAAAAGTGTAACATATAACATGTATAACGCTTACCACAATTGGTTCATTTTCAAGCCATTGTATCTACAAGACACTTCAAGAAGCAAAATCTCAAGACATAAACTGCTCATCATATTGACATTCAGCCTAGATTTATATAAACCTATCAAAATTTGAAGGTTGCAGTCACAAATTTGGTCAACGGTACATGTCATGCATGTGGTAATCCGGAAAGTGTATCAAAAGGGACTAGAAATTTTTGTTCTTCTACCCATTTTGACCCATGCCAGTACTAGTCAACCAACCATTTACAGGTCTGTGTCACATCTAAATCAGGATGACCTCTTAAGTACAAGTTTCTACCACACAGTCATAGGTCTGTATAACATCCAAAGCCTGAAATGATGACACTTACGGTACAAGTTCTTTTTTTATTTACACTTACAAAGGTTGTTTATATAATTCTACATGTACAATGTTTTTGATTATACTGATGAATTAGTTAAAACTGAATTTCAGAAAAAAATAAGGTATGGAAGCTGGTTTTTTTCAACAACCAGCCATCCCATTCAAGGGTCTGGAAATTTCTTCACATGATTTCGGATATGTTTTTTAGTACTAAGAAGCTGGAATCTTTTAATTTCAAAATGTCAAATGCATCCCAAATGTCACGACATAAATAAACCTCTAGCAACAGTTTTGCTGTATAAACTGCTTGAAATTGCATACCTGTTTTTGTTAAAGCATTTTAAGAATAATATGTGAAATGCAACAATTTAAAACTGCAATGATTTTAATGATTTAAAAAATGGCAAATTCCTTTGGAAACAATCATGCTACTTTCATTTTTGAGAAACATAAAAAACATTTCAAACATTAACTACCTAAAGGCAATTTTCATCAAGCAGTCAAGGGTGTACATGGTGTAACTTGAATAAGTTATTAGAGAAAAATAACATACACGTGTTATTACGGATACTTTCTCTTAATCTGTAGTAACATATGTTTGTTATCAGTTAAACATGTTAAATGTACCATAAAAAATTTTATTTTCAGTGGGCACTTGGGAATTCTTGAAACTTGCGCAGTAACTTAATACATAACCTTGAAAACTAATTTTCCAATTCAATTAATACATTTTTGATCAACCATGGTAAATCAATGAGACAAGGCTTTTAAGTGATAACTTAGCTGTAATAACAAGGCTTATATATAGCTATTACAGGCATTTAACTTATTACATGAAACACTTGGGAATGACTAGGAAGCTTGCACAGAACCTCATTACATGCTCTTGTCATTATTTATTACAATAAATTAGAATACATTGTGATATATGTAGGAGAAAAGGCTTTGAAGAGATGTAGAGAAGCTGTAATAACACCCTTTAGTTATTACAGGCATATTTTTTCTGTAATAACATGGGTGTGTTATGCATGATTGGCAAACTATGGGCTGTTATATCTTTCTAAAGTTTAATATACATAAAGACAATTATAATATCAATAGAACTAGTACACAATTTAACAAAATAAGGGATGTATAATGCCCCTTTGAAACATGTAACATACATATGTTATCACAGATTTTTGATTTTTTGGCCCTCAATAACAAGTGTATGTTATTTTTCTCTAATAACTTATTTAAGTTAGACCCTTGACTGTCAAGTAAAAAATATATTTTGCTGTAATTAAGAATCTTTTGATTTATGCTCAAGTAAAGAGGTTCTGAAAACACTTCAATTTGTTGCAAAAAAAAATTGTCCTTTTGCAATCAGAAAAAGAGAAGTGAAGGATCTGTTGATAAAGTATCAAACTATACATATTTAGGTTTATTGTTAACCTAACATTTGAGTTATGAAGATATGGCAAAAGCAGTTGCTAAATCTGCCAGTAGGGCATTGGGGTTATTAATAGCAAAATGTAAAGCTCATGGTGGTTTTCAATATGATGTACAAAAATGTATATACAAAACTGTTCAATTCAATTGTATGGTCAGTGATTGATTATGGTACCTCTATTTGGGGTAACTAACTAAGGAATTTTCTAGTATAAATGCTGTTAAACATAAGGCTATGAGATTTTTTATGGGTGTGGGTAGATATACCCCTAGCTTAGCACTTTATGGAGATATGGGATGGAAACCATGTATTGTTAAACAATGGTCTACCATATTTAGAACTTGGTCACGATTTAATAAGATGTCTAATTGTAGACTTAATAAGAAAATTTTTCTTTGGAGTAATAAACTCAGTTTTAATAAAGTAAAAAATTGGAACTGTAGAGTGAATACAAAGTTTAAAGAACTTGATCTTATTCAGTATTGTAATGTTGAATGTATTTTGAGCAAGTCTATTATTAAAGATATTGAAAACAACCTTTTTATTATGTACATGTACCAGAATAAATGGCATTCAAATTTACTAGCTAATGAAAGCAGTAAATTGCGTACTTACAGGTTATTTAAATCAAATTATTGTACTGAAAAATATTTAAGTATTACTATGCCGGGTAAATACAGAAGTGCATATACTAAATTTAGAGCAGGTGTTGCTCCAATTAGAATTGAAACTGGCAGATATGAAGGTATAGATCGATGTAAATGAAAGGTTTTGTTTTAATTGTAGAAAAAATGATTTAGATGTAATTGAAGATGAAAAACATGTGTTGTTGGAATGCCCAGAATATGCAGATTTGCGAACGATCTTTTTTAACAGTGTATGTAATGTAGAAAGTAGTTTTGATAATTTGGGTAATGAGGAAAAGTTTTTATTTATGTTTCATGACGACAGAGTTTGCTATTTTGCAGCCAAAATCTGCCATGAAGTACTTTTTTAAAAAAAGTGTATTTTATACTCGTAATAACTGTATATAATGTTTCTTTTTTTTTTTTATCTTCTGATAATGATTAGAAAAGAATAGCTTTTTAATATTATAGTGTTTTATGCTAAGATATATTGATATATGTTATATGTAATATAAATGTATTTTTAATGTGTGTTTTACAGTCTCTCATAACTCTTTTTAGAGTGGCTCTTTTATAAATTGATCTGTTGTTATTATATTGTGTTTTATATCAAATCGATTCCCGCAAATTTGTATAACTGATGACCAAAAAAAAATAACGAGGACTTACATTTTGAATTAATTCTGTTTGTATACATTCTAAAACGAGACTTAGGCTTATTCAGCATACCATTTTATAGCAAACAAAATGAGTTCTCTGTGAAAACTCACCTCAGATCAATCAGGTAGTTTTTTTGTATCTGTACAAAGATCAGTGATTAAAGCGACTTTGTATATTCCTTGTTTTTCTGTATATAATATTGTGTTTTTAATTAAACTATACTTTAAAATGAGGAAAAAAAAAACCTGCTACCTGAAGATAGTTTTTCTTTGTTTACATCAAAAATGATGTCATATATAAAATTCCTTACAATAACAATAGGAACAACATTGGATATGTTTCCCTAATTCAGTTACTTTTTATGCAGGGAATTTTTTACAATATATGTTTTTATATATAAATCTGCTGTTAATTATAACAGTATATTGCAAAGTATTCTAAAAGTTTGCTGACTTTGTCCCCTTTCAGTTTCACAGGTAACACCTGCCTTATATTATAATTTGAAGACATTTCCTTTATTCACTTATTAAATCTAGGCGAGTAAATGTCAGATACTTAAAACTGAAGGGAATATTTCATGTATCAACAGCACGTCAGACAGACCGGTATCAAGGTCCGTTCGCGCCCAATACATGTAAACCCCCTGGGTCCGTTCGCACCCTACACGTTTGCACCCTTTTTTTTTTATTCAAAAACCTGATGAATTATTCTGGAATTTTTAAATGAAATATTGTTTTAAATATTGATTTGATGATTAATTATTATATGTTAATTATGTATAATTACTGTTAATATGGTTTTTACACAGCTAAACTTGGTGTTATTGTTATGTGTTTTAAAATCGTGATTGTTGTTTTAACTAGCTTTGATGTAAATTCTGCATGTAGTAAGCATGTATTTAGCTTGGTATGATTAAAAACAATGAAGATTCAAAATGTTATTGTTGTTGAGTTAAATAGCGGTTTGGTATCTTAATACCATTAAAAAAATATTCAACACAAAAAACCTTTTTAGAAAGTCACTTTATTTTGAAACAACGAAAAAAAAAAAGCAAAACACGATTAAAAATATATTCAACACAAAAATCGTTTTTAAAAGTCACTTCATTTTGAAAAAATGAACAAAAAAATATTTATAGCAATACACTAACCAAAAAACGATTGAAAGATTAATTAACACAAAATCAATAAAAAGGGTGCGAACGTGTAGGGTGCGAATGGACCCTGGGTGCGAACGTGTAAGGTAAGAACGTGAAAGGGGGCGAACGTGTTTTTGGTCGAACGGACCCTGATTCAGACAGACCAAACAGCAATACCAATGGCCAATGCCTGACCTCACTCACTCACTGCCACTGCCGGCACTGGTCCAACCTCCTAGTCCGACAAACTTGTCACTTAATTTCAAACAATGAATAGTTTTTTTTTCAATATTTAAAATCATGCAGAAATTTGGGTCGATTCAATTTGAAATAACAATCACTTAATGGTATATTTAAAAGCTACCGTTAAAATTCTCCTCAAATCTTCATTTTACCGGATATCCAAGGTAAATATTTGGAAAATCTCGCGAGAAAAATGGAGATATTTACTCTGGGTTTACTGGACGCTTGAGAGTTGAAAAAGCACATTTGTTTATGTGTCAAATTGTGTTATCAAATCATTGTAATTCTTAGCATATTAATTTTTATCAAGATGAAACCCATATTTCATTTTTCAAAATAGTATGTTGTGCGATTGAAAGTAATATTTAAAGCAAAACATATTGGCGACTTTGAAAAACAATATTGACTTCCGGTACGTTTTTATTTTGGTCGGTGCTCCACTTTGAGATCACTTTCCAAAATGCCGCCTATGCCACCAATCGAGAAAGTTATTTCTGTACAGGAAGAGAAAACAGAAGAAGAAATACAAGCAGCTAAACCAGTAATAGGAATCATATACCCTCCTCCGGAAGTAAGGAGTATCCTTTTAAATTATGTGACCACATCTCTGGGACCCGTACAAGTCAAATCGGCATCTAGTTAAGGTTCATCATAACAAATGGACAAATATGGCCGTATTTTCACCTCAAAAACTACTCTGTGTACAGACTTTCCTGTGCAGTATGGAAAGTTTTAAGGCCTGGCATCCACTAGATATATAAAAGTTAAATTTATTTTGCATATCAGAAACTGAGAAAGATAAAATCGTTTTTGGATTTTGATTTTTACGGCCATATTTGTTCATTTGTTATGATGAACCTTAAATCGGTATCTATTTAAAGTCATTTCGGCATTTGATAATTCAACTGGCACCTAATATTATTTTTACCATTTTCTTTCATTTCTATTTGTTTTATATAGGATAGGGACGAAAGATACCAGAGGGACAGTCAAACTCATAGATCGAAAACAAACTGACAACGCCATGGCCAAAAAAAAAAAGACAAACAGACAAATAATAGTACAGATGACACAACATAGAAAACTAAAGACTAAGCAACACGAACCCCACCAAAAACTGGGGGGGATCTTAGGTGCTCCGGAAGGGTAAGCAGATCCTGCTCCACATGTGGCACCCATCGTGTTGCTTATATTACATTGTATTATACCCCATTATTTATAACAAAGTTTCCATTGGAACTTCTGTTATGCTCAACAAATATACGTTGACACATTGAGTGAAAATTTTAAATAAATCATGAAAAACGGAGACTGCAATAGTTTATTTGTTAATTATGGGTGCCGAAATAACTACCTCGGGTGCCGAATTAACCAGGTCCTGATTTGACTAAGTGCCAAATTGACTATAACAAGTGTCGATTTGACCAGGTGCCAAAGTGACTAAAAATCTGTATTAAATAGAGAAAACCTGTATACCTTTACTTTATAATGTTATAAAAGGTAATTAAGTATATTCCCATTTGAAGAAACGTGTTACACAAAGGTATATACCTGGATTTTCCCAAAGAGACAACTACCTCAGTTCCTGTGCTTAGGTATACCTGGTTGAACAGGTTGGGGAAGATCCTCATAAATGGGTAGTATCCCCATTTATTGGTATTATACCCAAAATCTGGTATCAATTTACTGTGATAAAAAATCAAATTTTGTATTTCATCATGATAGCTGTCATGGCTATCATGGCGCAAATATTCATATAAATGGCAAACATTTTTCCCTTTTTAAGACCATAGATCAAATGAGAATTGAATACAAAGATAATGGCCTCCAATAATCCTACTTTTTGAAGGCTGTTAACTTTTATCCTGATGATATTTCAGTCATGGTGTCTTTGGGCAAAATGTTGTCCTTTACCCGAATGTTTGGGCTATAACAGACAATATATCTGTAAATCCAAGTTTATATTTTTATCACTGAAAATTGATACCCGTTTTGGGGTATAATATCCATAAATGAGGATAGTACCCATTTATGAGGATCCTCCCCAACCTGAAAACAAACCCGTTCTTAAAATCTTGCATCATAAATATTCTAAAGAAGGCATAGGTCTAAAACCAGGACTTTTATTTTGATAAGTTTTCACCTGTAACTTTTGTATCACTCAACATATTTTCTGAATTCAAACTATTATACAGTCTGTGCCATTAGACACTAGCTCTATGCCCGAGTCTAGTGAAAATTTTGTTTACTAACGTACATTTGTGTACATGTAGGAAAAATGTTAAAACTTCTGATTCAGGCTAGTAGATGGAAAAGTTTTTGGCACAGACTGACTATATGTTAAAGTCATATGAAACCAGTTTCTGTTAATTACTATGTTAAGGAAATTATTGAACCAATGTATGCATAGTCCTCCTATCCGCATGTTTTTTTTTAACATTTATTATGAATACATACAGAATAATCAACAAAAAATTTCATCCTGTGGTTGTTGGTCGAAAATAATACCTGCAAATTAACTTTTGGGTATTTATAAGCAATCAACACAGTATAATAATAATGGAACACTTAAAAAATAAGTGAGACGATAGAGTGATACATGTACATGTATATATTTGTACATATTTTCCATGCATACCCATTTGTTAATTAAACTTAATCATAACAGTTTTCAAATGAATTGGTGTATTTTTTTATGCCACTGCAACTGAAAGTTGGGGCATATTGTTTTACCCACAGTCCGTCTGTCTGTCCTTTCGTCCGTCTGTCCCTCCTTCCGTCTGTCCGTCCCATTACAGGTATATAGTTATTCCAGATAACTCCTCCTACAGTTTGAATGCTAGGAAGTTTTCACTTTGCTTACTGTTTGTACATATATTGAAGGTGTGCATGTGGTCAGGGTTTTGATTTTTATTGATATTTGCTCTTTTGGGAGATAGTTGAACTTTGTCATTTTTGGAGTATATACTTGCATGAGAGGTGCATAGCGTTTCCGGATAACTCCTCCTACAGTGAACCATAGACCTATATGCTCCCATTGTTTAAAATAACACTTTGCATCTGCAGGGGCATCATTTGTGTCTCCCAGACACAATAATATCTCAAAAAAAGTCCTACATTGACTTTGTTAAAATACAGTTACAGAGTGGAGTGGGGGGCATCACTTTGTCTATTTTTTTTTTTTACGACCGCAAACAAATTTTGCGGTCGTATATTGGTATGACGTTGGTGTCGTCGTCGTCCGAAGACTCATTGGTTTTCACACTCTAACTTTAGTTTAAGTGAATGGATCTCTTTGAAATTTTACCATAAGGTTCAATACCACAAAAGGAAGGTTGGGATTGATTTTGGTAGTTATGGTACCAACAGTTAAGGAATTAGGGGCCAAAAATAAGCATTTTTGTAACTTCCAGACATAACTTGTGTGTTAGTGTATGGATCTCTCTGACATTGTACCACAAGGTTCCATATCACAAAGGGAATGCTTGGATTGATTTTGGGGGTAATTGCCTCAAAATTTTAGGAATTAGGGGCCAAAAAGGGGCAAAAAACAAGCATTTTTCTAGTTTCATGACAATAACTTGTGTGTAAGTCTATGAATCTTTCTGAAATTGTACTACAAGGTTCCATATCACAAAGGGAAAGCTGGAATTGAGTTTGGGGGTAATTGCCCAAAACGTTTAGGAATAAGGGGCCAAAAATAAGCATTTTTATACGCCCGTTTACGGGACGTTTTATGGTATACTGTTGTCCGTCTGTCTGTCCGTCCGTCGTCAACATGTCGGACATTAACTTAAAAACACTTTAACCAATTTGCATAAAACAGTGGTGAATTGTTTATATCTATTGACGTGAGCTCCCTTTCGTTTTTTATAAATTTTAGATTTTACGTTTCCGAGTTATGGGGTTTTATTCATTAAAAAAAGGGTGATTTTCCAGTTTTCGGACAATAACTCAAGAATTCTTTCACCAACTTGCAAGAAACTGTGGTGAATTGTTTATATCTATTGACATGAGCTCCCTTTCGATTTTTATGTATTTTAGATTTTATGTTTCCGAGTTACAGGGTTTTATTCATAAAAAAAGGGGGATTTTCCAGTTTTCGAACAAAAAATCAAAAATGCTTTCAGCAGTTCTTATGAAACTTTTGTGAACTGTTTATATCTATTGATGTAAGATCCTTTTAGAATTTTATAAATTTTTCATTTCTGAGTTATGGGGTTTTAGTCATTAAAAAAGGGGGGATTTTCCAGTTTTCCGAAAATAACTTCAGCAGTTCTTATGAAACTTTGGTGAATTGTTTATATCTATTGATGTAAGCTCCGTTTAGAATTTTATAAATTCTTTATTTATCATTTCTGAGTTATGGGGTTTTATTCATTAAAAAAGGGGGGATTTTCCAGTTTTGGGACAATAACTCACAAATGCTGTCAGCAATTCTCATGAAACTTTGGTGAATTGTTTATATCTATTGATGTAAGCTCCCTTTACATTTTCATAAATTTCTAATATGACATTGAAAATCAATTGAACTTTATTTGTTTATAGTCTGACAACAGATTTACTAAGTATTGCGCAACAGCACAGTGTATTGCACAACAGCAAGAAATCTTTAATTGAATATAAATTCAATTCATATAACCAATTTCAAATTCTTTGACTACATTCATTCAGAAACCTATAATATGTCAAATATTTAATTACAATCCAAATTCAGACCTGTATCAAGCTTGAATATTGTGTCCACTTTTGCCCCAACTGTTCAGGGTTGGACCTCTGCGGGCGTATCCAGCTGCGCTCAACGAAGCAGTTTATTCTAGTTTCCAGACAATAACTTGTGTTCAAGTGTATGGATCTCTCTGAAATTGTACTGCATGGTTCCATATCACAAAGGGAATACTTGGATTGATTTTGGGGGTAATTACCTCAAAATTTTAGGAATTAGGGGCCACAAAAGGGGCAAAAAACAAGCATTTTTCTAGTTTCATGACAATAACTTGTGTGTAAGTCTATGGATCTTTCTGAAATTGTACTACAAGGTTCCATTTCACAAAGGGAAAGCTGGAATTGAGTTTGGGGGTAATTGCCTAAAACGTTTAGGAATAAGGGGCCAAAAATAAGCATTTTTCTAGTTTCCAGACAATAACTTGTGTTCAAGAGTATGGATCTCTTTGAAATTGTACTGCAAGGTACCATACCACAAAGGGAAGGCTGGGATTGATTTTGGGGGTAATTCCCTCAAAATTTTAGGAATTAGGGGCCATTAAAGGGCAAAAAAACAAGCATTTTTCTTGTTTCAGGACAATAACTTGTGTGTAAGTATATGGATCTTTATGAAATTGTACTACAAAGTTCCATATCACTAAGGGGCAGACCAAGGGAAAGCTGGGTTTGAGTTTGGGGGTAATTGCCCTAAGTGTTTAGGAATTTGGGGCCAAAAAGGGGCCAAAAAACAAGCATTTTTCTAGTTTCCAGACAATATTTTGTGTTCAAGTGTATGGATCTCTCTGAAATTGTACTGCAAGGTACCATACCACAAAGGGAAGGCTGGGATTGAGTTTGGGGGTGATGAATCATA